ATGGTAAACTTTAAATTGATTATTAAATACAACAAAATAAACTTAAAAGATGAAAGATAATAACAATTGTCCTGCCCCTGAGCTGTTGGCTTTAATTAACTGAGCAATTTATTTGAATAGCACAGTCTGAAATTAAGCTGGTTTAAAGCTGGCATCAACCATAAACTAAATCTGCCATAATGCATATTAGCTACTCACTAGAAAATTCATCACTGAGAAAAACTTTAGTTTTACTTTTAATAATATTTATGTATTTATTTCAGGTTTAGTTAGTCATACACAGTTTTTATCAGTGTTTAAAAGAGGACGTGTTAAAACACTGTTTAAAGTTAAATATGAAATGTCAAAGTTCATTACAAGTGGCCCCTCGAGGGCCATCACAACGCTCAGGTGGCCCTCGGTGAAAATGAGTTTGACACCCCTGATCTAGAACTTTGTCTCACCCGACTCTGCCACCTCTGAAATCGGAACGTTCTGTTCATAAGACATGAACCCCAGGATGGAGAAAATGGCAAAGCCCGCCACAAAGCTGGTCCCGCTGTTCAGACAGCACAGTGCCAGACAGTCTCTGCAAAACCACAAGACAGGAAGTTAGGAGTTACGCCACAGGTTCATAGATGGAGCAAAACAATAAATAAATAACCTGTAGCAGTTGTTGTTGTATTTGTTGTAGCTTCCGAGAGCCGTCAGAGAGCCCAAACAGATGGCGTAGGAGAAGAAAATCTGTGTTCCGGCATCCATCCACACCTGACACAAAGGAGACTCCGTCTATCACCTGCTTCCTCTCATGCCAGAGCTTTAACTTACCAAATATGTTCACATAAACAAAGTGGCAGCCATTTTAATTAAAAACCTTGAAATGGTTTCTATATAGCCAGAGGAAGTGCTAAGTTTTAGCCTGTTATTGAGCTTTACAACAATCTCGGCACAGAAGAACAAGTTCAGGCTCTCGTCTTGTGCAGCTCAGCGTCGGTAGAGTTTGTGTTTAGCAGAAGTGGTGTTGCGGCTAAAAAAAAACGACGAAAAAGCAGATGGACCCAGCAGAATCGGAGCTCCCCAGCAGAGCGCCGTGTGATATCTGCACTCCTCCGAAGAGGGAGAAACACAAAAACAACAAAAATGCTCTTTTAGATTTATTTTTTTTAATAAAAACACAATGGTACCTGTGGGTCAGCCAGTCGCCCCAAATCAGGGTAGAGATAGAACTGAATCCCGATCCCAGCCCCAGGCAGGGTGAGTCCTCGGATCAACAGCACGGTCAGCATCAGATAAGGGAAAGTTGCGGTGAAGTAGACCACCTGCATCGAGCGAAGCGCACAAGTTCAAAACAAACACCAGCTGTCGTGAATTAAATCAAAGAAAGAAGAGGACATTCAGCTCACCCACCTTTCCCGTGGATTTCACCCCCTTCCAGATGCAGAAGTAGCACATGGCCCAGGCGATGAGCAGACAAACAGCCAGGTCCCAGTTCAGAGAGCCCATCTGGTCAATGCCCGGGGAAATCCTCAGTGCTCTTCTCCTGCAGGAACGAAACACAGCGTGACACATAAATCACGACACCGAGAGGCCGTTAATGAGCGTTCAAAACTCACTCCCAGAACTCCATGACCGGAGAGGTGGCATTTAAGAGTGCCGTTTGATCGACGGAGGTGTTTCTTCTCTGGAACTCGACACAGTTTTCTGCACAAAAGCAGGGAAACAATGAGAGAAATGAAGCAATGCTACACCTTTTATTTATTAATTTGTTGTTTTTTTTTCTTACCTGTGTTCCATGTGTTGTTGCAGGAGGACCAGGCTAGGTCCCCGGAAAAGGAGAAATAGAGGTAGAAAATGCCCCAGGCCAGAACGATGATGTAGTAGAAGTTCAGGAGGGTCACAATCACCTGAGTGCCGTAGCCGAGACCTGCATGATTTAAAAAAAAAACAAAAAACATCACAGACGAAGAGAACTCACTTACTCATATTTTGACATACGACATCAACAGGAAGGTGCGCCGTGACCCACCTGTCCTTACCTTCAAACAGAGGACTGATTTTCCTCCAGCAGGTGATTCCTCCCTGACTGGTGAACTGACCCAGCGCCGTCTCCAGGAAGAAGACGGGGACGCCACAGGTGAACAGGAAGATCAGGTACGGGATGAGGAACGCACCTGAGTGGAGATATTACAAAATGATATGAAGATAAATCAGTCCCATAAAGACTTGAGAGAGAGACAAATCTTGCTCCTCTCTCTCTCAAATCTTGCTCCTCTCTCTCTCTCTCTCTCTAATCTTGCTCCTCTCTCTCTCTAATCTTGCTCCTCTCTCTCTCTAATCTTGCTCCCCTCTCTCTCTAATCTTGCTCATCTCTCTCTCTAATCTTGCTCCTCTCTCTCTCTAATCTTGCTCCTCTCTCTCTCTAATTTGACTCTTCTCTCTCTCTAATCTTGCTCCTCCTCTCTTTCTCTCAAATCTTGCTCTCTCAAATTTGACTCTTCTCTCTCTCAAATTTGACTCTCCTCTCTCTCAAATCTTGCTCCTCTCTCTCTCTAATCTTGCTCCCCTCTCTCTCAAATTTGACTCCTCTCTCTCTCAAATCTTGCTCCTCTCTCTCTCAAATCTTGCTCTTCTCTCTCTCTCAAACCTTGCTCTTCTCTCTCTCTCAAACCTTGCTCCTCTCTCTCTCTCAAATCTTGCTCCTCTCTCTCTCTCAAATCTTGCTCCTCTCTCTCTCTCTCAAATCTTGCTCCTCTCTCTCTCTAATCTTGCTCCCCTCTCTCTCAAATCTTGCTCCTCTCTCTCTCTCAAATCTTGCTCCTCTCTCTCTCTCTCAAATCTTGCTCCTCTCTCTCTCTAATCTTGCTCCTCTCTCTCTCTAATCTTTTGTTCCTCTCTCTCTCTCTCTCAAATCTTGCTCCTCTCTCTCTCAAATCTTGCTCCTCTCTCTCTCTCAAATCTTGCTCCTCTCTCTCTCTAATCTTGCTCCTCTCTCTCTCTAATCTTTTGTTCCTCTCTCTCTCTCTCTCAAATCTTGCTCCTCTCTCTCTCAAATCTTGTTCCTCTCTCTCTCTCAAATCTTGCTCCTCTCTCTCTCTAATCTTGCTCCTCTCTCTCTCTAATCTTTCGTTCCTCTCTCTCTCTCAAATCTTGCTCCTCTCTCTCTCTAATCTTGCTCCTCTCTCTCTCTAATCTTGCTCCCCTCTCTCTCTAATCTTGCTCCTCTCTGTCTCAAGTCTTTATGAGACTAATTTATCTTCATAATATGACCTTCTCCTGGTTTCGTGTGCAGAAAAAACAACTTTTAAAACTTGTTTTTATACTCAGTTCAGTCAGATGTTACTTTTAAATTTTTTTACCACAGCTACAACTTTTTTTCAGCATTGTTAAGCCATCTGAGACATTTGGCGTGCTCAGATTTCCCTCGCTGTGAGGACGGAGCAACAACAGCTGTTTGACACAGCTTAGCCCTGAACTGTGACCCGCCGTCCCGTTGAGGGACAGAAAGAGACGGGGGTGGGGTCTAATTTAACAGAAATGCCAAAAGCTCATCAGGGAACCCGTCTGGGCTGGACAAGGCTGGAAACAAAGTCAGTTTAACGCTATAAGTGATGATCTTCTACCTCATGCGCACTGTTTTATGCTTTGAACACTTTAGTAACTCGTAGAGAAGTGGAAATATTTGGGAGCAGACAATACAATTTGCCACTCACCCCCTCCATTCTTGTAGCAGAGGTACGGGAAGCGCCACATGTTGCCCAGGCCGATGATGGAGCCGGCCACCGACAGAATGAACTCCAACTTGTTGCTCCACTGACCCCGCTCCTCCATCTTCTCTTCTGGGGGCGGCAGCACGTCCTTGACACGGTTGTTTCCATTGTGGAGGCCCGCTTTGGCTCCTGTGGGACAGTTAGAAAGAAAGCTCATACCTCATCCTGGCATGTTGTAGAGGTCAGTTAGTGCCAATTGTTCCCTTACAGCAGCATAATTAAAATATAATCACTCACACTGTAATAGAAACCTTAATCAGCTCACCTTTCATTGCAGAGTCCCCGCCGTGTGTCTCGAAGCTGAAGCACTTTGTGGAGTTTCATCCAGAAATGCTCCAGTTTTTGTATTTATTATGGCTGGCAAAAGGGGCGGGGCTTTGTAAAGCTAAACCTAAGACACCCTGTGCTCTGTTACTCTTCACCCCTCCTCGATCTGAGCAAAGTATATCATTGAGCGTGACTCTACGCTTAAAATATGGTGCAACACAAGAGTCTGAGAGAATGACATTTGACCTCTGAGTCTCGGGTCGGTTTCAGCTGCAGCCATACTTCAGCTTAGACAATAAAAATATGATAAAGAAAGTATAAGCAGTCTACCATTTAAAATGTTTTATTAGGCTATCTAAAATTTTGGTAAAACGATGTAGTAGACAAAGAAACAACCCACAGCAGCTGTTGAAGATATAGCTGGTGATGCAAAGTTTTTTTTTTGTTTGTGTTGATGCATTCTGATCCCCGTTGAGAGCGTAACTCTTACTGTCTCTTACCGTCAGCAGGGTGACAGAGGTGAGCCACGCTGACTGGAGGCTGCTCGGGTCAGTTCACACCGGATTCAACTCGGCCGAGCGAGTACGGGACGGCAGCAAGACTCTGCAGCAGAACAATACTGAGCGACCAATTAGTGTGGAAGTTACAAAACTAGTCAAGATGAACACGTTTAAGAAACGGCATTTTCTGAAAGAAATTCAATGTGAATGTTGAATATTTACATGAACTGAATTTAAAGAAAAGGATGAAAAAGATGAAACTGAGTCGGTAAAGAACACTAGCTAAAAGCAAAAAGTTGCAAAGGGCTAAAAGCTATTAAACTTTAGCTTTTAGCAAACATTTTGTACGGAAGAGGATTAGCGCCACAAAAATAAATTTTCCCCCCAAGGTTCGGACTTTTTTCCCTCAGAATTCTGAGATTAAAGTCAGAACTCAGGAAATAATTATTGTTTGCTGTGGCCCCAGTCCTCTTCAGTAGTTTAGTCACAAATAGTAGAAGAAGGCTAGCTAAAAGTTGCAAAGCACTAGCCAAACTATAGCTTTTAGCTAAACCTTTCCCACCATTAGAGATAAGCTAGCACAGGGGTGGGCAATCCTGGTCCTGTAGGGCCGCAGCCCTGCATGTTTTACTTGTTTCTCTGCTCCAACACACCTGATTTGAATGAATATGTGATTATCAGGCTTCTGCAGTACGGAGGACCAAAACTGACATAATTAGAAATAAAAGCAGAATTATATAAATGAACTATTAAATAAATACACTTAAAGGCACCAATTAAAGAACTTTATCCTGTTTTATATTTTAATTGACTTTCATATTCATTTTTCCAGGTTAATTTCAATAAGTCTATATATTTGAACACATAATTTGACTGATTTTTACATATATAATGTGTTTTTCCTTTACTTGTACATGCATTTGTGTGTCTTAAATGTTTATACTTAATTATGTTTACATTTTCTCCATTAAGTCTTTTTATTTCAATGTGTTGCATGCTTGTGGTGCCTAAATTTAGCTTAAAGTTTAGTTTAAAACAAAGGCAAAGAGGATTACCTCTACCTGTACATGCATTTGTGTGTCTTAAATGTTTATACTTAATTATGTTTACATTTTCTCCATTAAGTCTTTTTATTTCAATGCATGCTTGTGGTGCCTAAATTTAGCTTAAAGTTTAAAGTTTAGT